AAACCCAAATTTATTGTATTTCAGTCCCTCTTGTCCTCTTATATAAATTCTATAAATAACTGCACAAATCCCAAAGCCGTGAAAACAAAAGCACTTTTTTTGGAAGTTAAAATATAAAATGTGAATCTGTTTATTATTTTATTATTATTATATTATTATTATAATTTTATTTTATTTTTCTATGCTGAGCTCTGTGAATATGAATTCTTAAGTCTCTAGCAATGTTATTGTTTACCATTGTATATTACATTGTATTTTTGAAAAAAATAATAAAATAAAATAAATAAAAATCCATAGAACTCCATTAAGTTGCTCCGACTCAGTGAACTCTTAAACATATAGCCTAATAAAATAATAATAATAAATAAAAAAAAAGACCTCAGGCAGTAATAAAACATTAAAATCAAACAAAACAAGTTTTAAAATTATAACAATATGCAAAAAATAAGACAAAATAGATAATAATGGCATTGTACAGCAGTGGTCAAACCCAAAAACCTTAAAATGAGCTTTTAAATGCATGTGTAGTGAACATTTTGGTCTAAAATATGCTTAATTAGACCAAAATAGTGGTGTTTGTAAATTACCTTTGGACATTTTTTTTGTGTAATTATCAAATATGGTTTTTATATAGTGTGACCCGATGTCCCTGTTGACCCGGGACAGTCCCAGTATTTATCCAAAAACAGTGATTTTTCCCAGTTTTGTACATGAAATGTTCCTGGTGTCTCTATTTTTGACCAATCTGATCCTTGCCAACAGTAAAAAGAGGCAGATTTGTTTAGATAAAATACAAAACAAATCTGCTAAAAACGACCAAAACACAAAGAAAACGTGACTTTACTGACTCTCATGTTCGTCATGAATGTTTTTTGCAGTGAACAATTTTCCTTAATTACGCACTCGTTTCACAATTTTATTATCACCAATCACCAAAAAAAAAAAAAAAAAAAAACGAGTACGTCCGAGTTTTTTTTATTTATTTTGAAATTCTGATCACCGTATTTTTCTATCCCCAGTTTTCACAATTTAATAAATAAAAGACTTTAGACATGACACTTATTGAGTTATTGTGTTGTCAGAAATAGTGATTAAAAAAAAATAAATAAATAAATAATTGAACGATTAAATCCGCTGTTTTCTGCGCTTTTCTGTTCTAAAATGTGATTGGTTAAACCCGACGGTGACGCATTGGTCATATGATAAACCCGGAAGACGTCGATGGCTTCAGTTTAGCTTCAAACCTCTTCGTATTTTGCAGAATTTATCTTTTTTGTTGTTGTTTTTTTTTTTCGCATGCGTTTTCGTCCGTAGATCGTGTTGATTTCCGCGGCTCGCCATGTCCGCGGGCCACACGAAAGAGCCGAGTTTTCTGGGAGGCAGAATTCCCCCAGAAATCGAGTCGATGTCCAAGAATCTGAAGGATCTGGACCAGGACACGTTCAGAAAGTTATTAAAAGGTAAAAAAAAAAAAAACAACTACTCAACTCTACGACGTCTGCGTACGTTTTTATGATTTATTTACGTTTTTGACAACACCTCATGACGTGCACTGTAGGTTAAAGGGTATTTATTACGATATTTTCAGATTTTCTCTGTTCTAATGTTTCCTCATCACAAACGGACCCGCTGGAGTTGTTCTGTTCCACTTTGTGACGTCATGTGGTGATACAGGAAACGCTCCAACTCCAACACACGTTCACTAGAATCATCTGGATCGTTTTTTTTTGTTGTGTTTTGTTTTGTTTTTTTTCAGTTCTGGAATTGTCTAATCTGTACCGAACTGAAGGAAAACGGAGCTGTTCACGTGAAAACCGCCACTTCATGACATCACAAGGTGGAAAAAGAACGTATTGAGTGTTGGAGATGTAGACGGTAATGGTTGGTCGATATTTTGGCTTTTTAGCACATGGGCTATGTCAAATTGTTTCCCAAAAGCTGGCTCGGTTTCACTTCGTAGAAACCGTGTGACCTCGCAGCGTTAGGGTTCGTTCGCTCGACGGTCGGTGGGGACTTTTTTTAATTTAACCAATCGCTGCTGTTTGGTCGTGACGTATGTAATGCTCTGTACACACGGGGGAGGGCGCCCGACACACACGGGGAGAAGTGCACCCGACACAATTCACCTGACACACACACACACACACACACACACACGGGGAGGGCACCTGACACACACACATCGGGGTCTGACGGTGTTGTTCCTCGTAGCGGTGGTGGGGGCGCTGGAGGGCAGGGACGGCAGAGACGCGCTCAGGTCCGTGTCGGAAAACTCCCCCGTTCCTCTGGAGAAACTCGGCCTCGTCGTCGCCGGGATGTTCCGGGTTTTGTCCGAGGCCTTACGCGTCTCCACGGCAACGCTCAAGCAGGAGGTGAGGACTGGACCGGGACTGGACCAGGACTGGACCAGGACTAAACCAGGACTGAACCAGGACTGGACCAGGACTAAACCAGGACTGAACCAGGACTGGACTACACCAAGACTAGACCAGAACTGATCCAGGACCGAAACAGGACTAAATCAGGACTGAACCAGGACTAGAGCAGGACTGATCCAGGACTGATCCAGAACCGATCCAGAACCGATCCAGGACTGAAACAGGACCAAACCAAGTCTAAGTCAGGACTAGAGCAGGACTAGAGCAGGACTAGAGCAGGACTAGAGCAGGACTAGAGCAGGGCTGATCCAGGACCAAAACAGGACCAAACCAGGTCTAAAACAGGTTTGGACCAGGACTGAACCAGGACTAGACCAAGCCTAGACCAGGACTAAACCAGGGCTAAACCAGGACTAAATCTTATTATCACTTTTGTTTTGTTTCAGGCTTTTAAAGAAGACCTGCGAGATTTGAAGTAAGAAACTTATTTAAATCTCAGTTTATTTAAAATATTAATTCAATAAAACTTTTTTTGTTGTTGTTTTTTTTTTAATAATTTTTGTCAGAATCCCAGAGGAGTTCATCTCAGATTTCTCCAGTGTGGTCTTTGGAAACCGGTGAGACAGAGTTTGGCTTCAGGGTTCAGTTTTTTCTGACTGTTCCTGTTCATGTTTTAGCGTGTTTCTCTGTTTTTATGACTCTTCCCGTTCGTGTTTCTGTTCCAGTCGCTCCGTCCTGGAGGCGGCGGCGGCTCAGTCGGACCCTCGCCTGCCGACTCTGCAGCAGCTTCAGTGGAGAGTGGACGTGGCCATCTCCACCGGGTAAGAAAACACGATGACGCTTCACAACAAAAACACTCAAATAAACAATAAACGGTGAGCCTCCGTGTAGCCGCACATGTAGTGGCCGAATGTAAATACACACAAACTGCGTGAACTCACTCGTGCGCTGACCTGCACTGAATCCAACGTCCTGTACTGAACCGACCAGTTACAAAAGGGTGAGTTGTTGTACAGTTTTAGGGAGTATGATATTAATGTAGTCCTGTATCTCTCACTTTAATCAACAAAAATCTCCGACTGAAACTCTCTGACAGAGAAACAGACTGAGTTTTGCTCTTCGCTCTTGTATTTGTCCGTCTGAAGTGTGTTTTGTGTTTTCTCAGGTCTCTGTCTCGCGCTCTGCAGCCGTCCGTCCTGATGCAGATGAAACTCTCCGACGGATCCATCAAACAGTTTGAGGTAAAAACACTTTTTTAGAGACAAAAACATTTAAAACGGACTGTTAATGTTCCTCCTCAAAAACAGACCTGGAGTTGTGTTTCGTTTCTTTAGAGTATTTTATTTATTTTATTTTGTATTTTATTCAATTTCCTATTTTATTTAGTATTTTAATTATTTTGTATTTTAATTAGTTCATATTTTAATTATGTCATATTTTATTTCGTATTTTATTATGTATTTTATTTCTTTTATTTATTGCGCATTTAATTAATTTAATATTTTATTTTGCATTTTAATTATTTCATATTTTATTTATTGCATATTTTATTTAGTATTTTATTTATTGCATATTTTATTTTGTATTTTGTTTATTTCATATTTTATTTTGTATTTTATTTCATATTTTATTTCTTTTATTTGTTGCGCATTTATTTCATTTCATGTTTTTTTTGTATTTTAATTATTTCATATTTTATTTATTTTGTATTTTATTTATTGCATATTTTATTTCATATTTTATTTATTGCACATTTTATTTATTTTGTGTTTTATTTTGTTTTTTATTTATTTCCTATTTTATTTATTTAGTATTTTATTTAATATTTTATTTATTTCCTATTTTATTTCTTACATATTTTGTATTTTACTTATTTTGTGTTTTATTTCATATTTTATTTATTTCGTGTCTTATTTTGTATTACATTTTTTATTTTATTATTATTTTTAATATATATTAATTTTTTTATTTTTTATATTTTTTTATCATCTTTGAGGCGTCCAAATTAATTCTGACTTTTTTTTTTTTTTTGCAGAATAAGTTTTTCTAGATCAGACCAGAGTTTGAGTTTTTACAATAAACATGAATCTTCTTCCATCTGTTTCTCCGGACGTGTCCAGCAGATGGCGCCGTCCCGCTTCACACGGTGCCGCATGTCGTTCACAGCGCCGCCGTGTTTCTCTTTTATAATTAGATCAGATAATTACAGGTCTGTCCCACAGCGCCCCCTAATGACACACGCTCTGTAATAACACTAAAAATAACCACACGTCACAGGAAACTTACGGAGAGTCAGATGCCCTCCCAGACGTTGTTTACTGATTATTTATTTACATTTTCCTCCTTGTTTTTATGTTTTTCAGGTTCCAGTGTCAAAGTTCCAGGAGCTGAGGTACAACGTGGCTCTGATCCTCAAAGAAATGAACGACCTGGAAAAAAGAAACATCCTGAAAATCCAGGACTGAGAGAAAATATCTGGACTTTTCAAACGACGTTTTGCTGTTTTATACGGTTTTATTACAAAAGTGTAAATATAAATGTGAGTCAGCGCTGTCTAATGTTTTTCCTTTTGATTTATGTTTTACCGTGAAGTATTAAAAAGGTAAATTCCTAAATATAAAA